GAGAAAGCTACTTGATGCCTGCAGAAGTGCAGGACTGGCGATTTTCCACACCAGAGAAGGGCAAAAACCAGACATGTCGGACTGCCCATCCTCGAAACTGGTAAGGCAGGCTGCTTCTCCAGGAAATAAGCAGCACAAGCTCGTAATTGGAGACAAAGGACCGCTAGGAAGACTGCTCACGAGAGGAGAGTACGGCCATGATCTGGTCGATGAATTAAAGCCACTACCTGGCGAGGTTGTCATTGACAAGCCCGGAAAGGGGTCATTTTGGAATACGACAATTATGCATAAATTGAAAGCACGTGGCATCACTCATATAATTGTAGCTGGTGTCACTACAGAATGCTGCTTTGCAACGTCGATTCGGGAAGCGAACGATCGGGGATTTGAATGCTGTACGTGGGATGTTAGAACGCAATGGAGTTGAAATAACCCAATCACTGACTGTGTTAGGCGGAATCTCCGAAGCGACTGCTGGCTATAATGTCGAATTCAAATATCAAACTCTCGACGTATTGTACTGGTCACAAGGTCTTTTCAGCTTTGTTGCATCATTACAACCTCTTCTGGATGCACTCAGCACGGTAGCCTCATCAACGCCCGAGACTACTCCTGAATGGGACGGTGATCTGTCTATTGCTGGTTTATCGAAAGCATATAAAGCTGGTCTTTCGCCTGTCACCGTCGCTGAGGGTCTATACAAAATCATCGAAGCTTACGGACAGGAGCACGAAGGCGTATGGATCCATCTCGAGAGCAAAGACGTGGTCGTGGAGAAAGCAAAAGCACTCGCCGCCAAGTATCCAGACAAATCTGCGCTCCCACCGCTTTACGGCATTCCCTTCAGTGTCAAGGACAGCGTAGACGTCGCCGGTTTGCCGACAACCACAGCCTGCCCGCCTTTGGCATTCACCCCGACCGTTTCTGCACCGATGTATGAGAAGCTTATAGCCGAAGGTGGGCTCCTCATCGGCAAGGCCAACCTCGACCAATTCGCAACGGGTCTCACAGGCTGCAGGAGCCCGTACGGTCAACCTCACTCTGCTTTCCACAAGGAATACATTTCTGGCGGCTCCTCCTCTGGCAGCAGCGTCAGTGTTGGAGTGGGCCTTTGCTCTTTCTCTGTCGGAACTGATACCGCAGGCTCAGGTCGCGTACCTGCACTCTTCAACGGTGTAGTTGGATACAAGCCCACGAGAGGCCTCATATCTGCTGTTGGTGTCACGCCAGCTTGCCTCTCACTAGATTGCATGGCCATCATTGCTAAGAACATTGACGATGCCAGGCTAGTGTGGCAACTGACGGAAGGCTACGACGAGAATGACCGCTACGCAAAGCCATCGATTGGTTTTGAACGACATATCAACGCAATAGGCCCTCAAGCTAAGGCCTTCAAGTTTGGGATTCCGCCGCCTGAAGCCCTTGAGATATGTACCCCAGTGTACCGACGAATGTTCGACGAAGCTGTTCAGCGTCTTCAGAGCATCGGTGGCACGCTCGTATCGATCGATTGGGCGCCTTTTGACAAGGCTGGGAAGCTGCTTTACGACGGAACTTTCGTTTCTGAGCGTCTCGCAGGACTTCCCGACGGCTGGCTTGAACAGAATCGGCAACATCTACATCCCGTCACTGTGCAGCTGTTCGATGCGGTTGTTGCGCGAAACAGCACAGCTATCCAGGCTTATCGCGACTTGCAGGCCAAAGCCCTTTACACACGTCAGGTGGAGAAGGTCTTTGCGTACGCGGCGAGCGGCGTAGATGTGGTAATGGTTCCCACAGCACCTACGCATTGGACAATTGAGCAAGTCAATGCCGACCCGATCAAGAAGAACAGCTTCTTGGGCGAGTTTACGCACTTTGCGAATGTTTTGGACTTGTGTGCTGTTGCAACGCCGGCTGGCACATATCCGGTAAAGGAGCTGTCCGGAAATGAGAAGGATGACGGGACACTCCCGTTTGGAGTGACTTTTGTGAGCGGCAGTAGGATGGATGCAGAGCTTTTGGAAATCGCGAGAAAGTTCGAAGGGTTTGCGTGAAACAGCTATAGTTAATTTGCAAGAACTATGGGTCTTCGCAGCTTCAAAGGATTCCACTAGTTTTTCCCTCTGGATGCAGTTATGAAATACCCTCGAGCGTGTCTGCCAGCAGGATATCCCCCAAGTGCCCTAAGTAACCTTACTATAATAGGCAAGCGTTCCTTTTGTTTTGTGGCCTAACACCGCCTCCAAATCATGCCTCGAAAGTGACATTCCACACCTCAAATATCTATTTCTTGACTGGGCTTTTCGCGAAATTACCGTATCCTTTATCTCCAGCGCTTCGAAAAAGCGGGACCCATGCTGGAGTACGGAGGTTTGCCAGACCGTCCGCACCCAGGTGCAACTTGCAAGAAGGCCGTGTGGCTTAATCCCGCACGCCGTCCAAGGGAAGAAGAAAGAGAAGCAGGGAAGTTTTGATGGCTCCGAGAGGCATGTTGGCTTGTTGTGTCACGGACAGTAATTCCGAACCACAGTACCTTTTAGGCCATCCCTCCGCTGCTGAGAGCCGTTGGGTGTGCGTACCCGTAACCAGTCAATACTCGATGTACTGTCTGTCCGCCTCAAATTCCGGTCGGATATAGCCATTTTCGGCGTCCTCCTTATGACTAGGGAGCAGACATTCACGGTACATTCGTAGTAGCCACTCACTTCGCTGCCTTTTCACGTTGGCTCCGTCGATATCGTATCGTTGACATCGACTTTTCGCTTGTGGGAAGAGGAGGGAGTGATAGTGGAGGTTGAGGTTGGGGGGTTGAGGAGGTCGAGCTGGGGAGGTTATGTTGAGGAGGTTGAGGAGGTTGGGGCCGCGGAAGTAGAGGTGGTGGAGGATGAGGTTGAAGAGGTCGAGGATCCAGAAGGAAGTGCCTGCGCATATGCTTGAGGTGGAGGAAGATATATCCGGCCTGTAAATTCTGCCTTTGGCGTGGCTTCAATGCTCCTTCCTGGGCGCAAGACCAGTCCAGTCATATCTCCTTCTACCTTGAAGATTCTTTGGTAGCAGAGTCGCCATGTGTCTGCTTTTCTCTGCAGTCTTGAACGCGAAGAATTAAGAAATTACATAACAGAAAAAGCGAAGAGATTCGCACTTGAGGGCAACAAACTGGTTGAGCTGGATAAGTCGGACAAGGAGAGTATAAATAAGTATTACTCTTCAACGCAAGCAAGAGCGTCTCTGAAGGGATGGTTTGACATACATCTGACAATACTTATTAAACATCCACAGCTTTCTCGAGCATAACCTCAATTAATTAAAGATCATATACATTACGGTGGTGCACTATCTTGTAGCTCTGAATCAGCCTTCTTCTCACCCTCGACCCGCTCTCTGTTATGTACTTCCCACTCACCTGCAGCTTGCTGCAGGTGAAGTAGAATTCGTGCAAGAAGCGAATCAAATTAGTGAAGGTGTCCGCCCCGCCCAGATCATCATCGACGAAATACTCAAAGGAGACATGCTCCTTCATCACCTCTGAGAGTGGGAGTTCGGAGTTGGGTATCGGGATATATCCCATCGCGATGTCTGAGTTTTGAGTATGTTGCTGGAGCCCCAATAAGACCTTACCCCATTCGGAGATAACATATCTGTCCGAAGATTGTGGAGAAGGCAGTTTTGTATGCATGTTCAGGCGCAATCGGAACAGCCCAGTACCCGTTTACTGCATCAGCTTGGAACATATACTATAAATGAGGCTGACTGAGCTCATTGAGGATTGGCTCTATACGTCTCATCGGGTACCCATCCTTGATGGTCGCGTCGTTGATCGGGCAGTAGATGTGCAGAGATCCATTTGACTTCAGAGGGAATTTTGTCGCGGCTGACCATGGTGACGTACATTGCGTGACGACTTTTGCTTCCATTAAGGCAGGACACTCACCTGCAGCAAGTGGCAGGTGAGTGCGACTGGTAGATGTGGTGTGGGAAAAGGGGAGACCTCCCTCGAGACGTGATTGCCAGACTGGAAAGCACGACCTGCTTACATAATGATCTCTTGCCACCGAAAATCTCAAAAATGAAGTCGAATGGAAGAACAAAAAGCCAAAAGGTGAACTAATTGCGCGCACAAAAGAGAAAAAAAAAATCTCCGCTCCCAGAATCGAACTAGGGACCTTTCGGTGGCAGATATGAGCAATTACAGCCGAACGTGATAAACCAACTACACCAAGCGGAGTAACCAAGCTAAGCCTGGGCTTGTGGGGGTTCTGGAAAATAAAAATAAAATATATAGGTAGCGTAATTGATTTACGAAAGTGAGCCGGTTGTGCGCTAAGCCTAAGGAAGCCTTCGCCGTTCAAGGACCCACTTTGTCGCATTTTGCGGGCAAAAAGTCACAAGCCCAGTGCACATCTGCGCACACATCATCATCAACAACACGATAATTTGATTTAAGGGCAACAGCCTTTTGAAATTATGGCGCCAAAGCCGCCATCCAAAGGCTCAGGCTCTAAATTCAAATCTAGTTCTTCTGCTTCCAAACCCTCGAGCAGACCGTCGAGCAAACCATCGAGCAAACCATCGAGCAAATCGTCCTCCAGCGCGAAGAAGCGCAGCGTACCGAAGCCAAAAGACCAAATCAAGACCAAGCGCGCCGATGCTCCTTCTACGAAGAAGAAACGGCGAACATACACTGAGAAAGAGCTTGGAATTCCAAAGCTGAATATGATCACACCGGCGGGCGTACAGAAGCCGAAGGGGAAGAAGAAGGGCAAGGTCTTCGTCGACGATCAACAGAGCATGATGACGATTTTGGCAATGGTCAATGCGGACAAGGAGGGCCAGATTGAGAGCAAGATGATGAAGGCGAGACAAATGGAGGAAATAAGGGAGGCTAGGAGGAAGGAGGCGGAGATGAGGCAAGTGGACAAGAAATCAAAGCTGGTGAGTTGCAATTCACCATTCCGTGACAGTCGCTGGGAAGAAATTTTTACTTCCAAACCCCCACAAGCCCATGCTCAGCTTGGTTACTCCGCTTGGTGTAGTTGGTTTATCACGTTCGGCTGTAATTGCTCATATCTGCCACCGAAAGGTCCCTAGTTCGATTCTGGGAGCGGAGAGCAAGGCACATTTTGTCTTGTTTGACCTCTTAGAGCTAGTAGGACAAGAAAGTACCTCCATGATTCATGTACTTCCCTTAGCACACCCTACCCTGCCGGCTTGCAGCAGTTGTAAAAGCAAATCGCGCGGAATCCGCGCGAAGAAACTCCAGCCATGTTCTAATATATGCTTGCAGGAAGAAACCAAAAACTCGCTCCGTAAACATAGAAAGCGCAAGAGCGACGGCGACGCCTTGAATGCGACAGATGCAAACGCTCAAACTTCCGCACCGAAAAAGAACAAGAAACGAGTGTCTTTCGGTTGAGCACCTCAGGCAAAGATCTCCTCCCCGTTTTTCAATCATCAGGGTCATGATGATACCGGAGTTTGCGACGCATCGGCCGGAAGCCTGCATCAGCATGACTGGGCTGTATCATTGCCTGGATCATATCATCGAGCTTCTTGCTGGACTTTACATGATCGATGTCTCTCGCCATGGTTTGCAAGAAACCCACAATCTAGAAATTATTGAGCATTTGGCAGCGCTCCCACATGGACGTTACTCACTGGCTTGACAAACCACCTTCCACCGCCTAGCTCAAACCAGGCAAGATGTCCGCCAGTGGAGGTCACGCAAAGGCATGCGAATGGGTTCTTCTTGATCTCCTCGTATGGAAGGGCAAGCTTTGTTGCAATAGGATCATCTTCGGCACTTACCGCGAAGACTGGAATCCGAATGGCGAGTAGTGAGTCGGAAGAGGAGGCGTCTCGGTAGTACGCATTTTCGGTGGGATAGCCCCAAGTCGGCCCTTGCAGCTCTCTATCGAATTCGAAAAGATATTTCACGTTCATGACATTCTCAACGTTGATTCTCGGGTTCTTTGAAATTTGATCGACATGTCCCATGAAGAGCCTTTTCATCGCTGTTCCCAGGGTCTTGGAGTAGACCTCTCGACCCAACCAGGTGCTGTTGAGGCCCACATTGCCGATTTCGAGGTTCCACGGGTTGGCTACAACGACAGCCGCTTTTAGTGGACACTTATTGCCCTCTTCACCGAGATACTACCATTCGTAAGGCCTAAGCAGAAATATAGACAAGCTTTACTTACATTGGTCAAAATGTTGGCTCCCAGTGAATAACCAATGCCGAAGAGCGGCCTATTTGGAAATGTCTTTCGGCACCAGTTGACTACCTGTCGAAAGTCCCAAGTAGCTCGCGCATTGTAAAGCACTTCTGTAGTGATTTTGGACATGGCACAGCCGCGAGAAGTCACAACGCATGCTTCCCACCCACCTTCCTCAGTGCACAAGGGAGCGAAGACATGTCGTAAGTAGTCTTCATGTGATCCTCCACTGAGTCCATGGAGTGTGATGAGCATTGGCTTGATGTCGAGTGATCCGATATTCGCTAGTTCGTCCTCAGAATAGTAAGTCGTGCGTGGAGGTAGAGTCTTGTCCACTTCACTCGGCTCATGTACCACAAAGTCAACTACAAATGAGCCTGCGACCTCTGGATCGTCCGATTCGAAGACTTTGCGTTTGTAAATGATCGGTATACTTTGTTTACCAATGGCCGTGTACATAGTCTGCAGGTGTCCATTAAATAGGAGAGGGTGCAGGCGACATGTTGGAGTGGCTGATTTGCAGATGTCTACGAGTGACTTTTCAGATCCATCCTTAGCCGTGAGAATGATTGTGTTTTTGGCGCCGTAGAAGGCCACCTTCGCGTAGCCAAAAAGCCACGAGAACCACATTGCAGCCTGGAAGAACTGAGTGAAAGTAAGATACCTTGATCTGTCAAGGTGAAGTGCAGAAATTGGAAAGTGGGTCAATTTCTACCGCCGCAATGTTCGAAAATGCACTTGGAAGGTGCTATCGATAACGAGCAGGGTGCCTCGGCTCGCCTAAGCGCAGTGACACGGCCGCGTCACAGCGTGTTGAGCCGTTTGCGCTTATATTGGCCAATAGACGCTTTCTTCACCCACCGAATGCGGCTATCTACGCAACCTCACGGCTTGTTCATTTGACGAACGCAGGCTTGACGAACCCTGGAATTCGGTTTGACGGGCCCTGAACGGGCTTTTGGCCCACCATCATGGACTGGCAGATGTTTAACCCTTACGGGTCCCATCCTAATGGAGCGTATGCCTCCTCGGGGCAGCCTAATCGGCCCATCAACTACCCTCCGCCGTACCTGCCGCATGCGCAACAGCAACCTCATTCAATACCTCCACCACCGCCGCCTCAAGCGGCTCATCAGTACAACGCAGCCTCAATGGTCATTATACCACAACGCCCACCCGATTATCTTAGCCAATTTCAAGACCTCTCAGATTATCGCGAACATATGCAACAGCAACCTCGTCAACCGAAGCAGCCACGTCCGCAACCCCGGGCACATCAACATGACCAAATGCTTTCTACACCGACTTCAAGAAAACCTGAGGTGATACCTCAACTGCCGCCGCAACCCCCGAAGCCTGCGTCCCCTCCTGTCGACCTTCAGCAGCTTCTCTTGTCACTCGCGGATGAGTACATCTCCACGGCGAGAGGTATGGGACCAATGGTCGCGTTGATGAAGCAGGACACAAGGCTCCAGGAATACTATAAGCTCATAGCGATGGGTATGCGCTGTATGGACGCGGTTTTGAGGGTATGCTTAGTACATCGCTCTTCTTTCGCGTTCGCTAACGTGCAGAGTAGAAGTATAGGTTAGAGCCGCGTGCAGAAGCTTCCTTAAGACTCCGATACGCGACACTGCTCTTTGAAGAGACGAATAATAATCTAGATGCGGAAGAGGTGCTGAATAAAGGCGTAAGTACATGAGACACGTATAATCACGCTCGAACGCGCGCTCACGTGACGCAGATAATGCTTTGCGAAAGGGCAAGTCCCCGACGACCATCGATTTGGCCCAGCTAATGGATTTAGAATCGCCTTTTGGACCTCAAATACAGCATGCAACATCTTCAGGCCCGAGTCTTATTCCGCACAAAGCCAAAGGCAGCTTTGAAGAGCCTCGATAAGCTTATCCCGGATGTCGAGACGTGAGGATTTCAAGTTATTCATATCTGGACAGCACTGACAAATATAGATTCCAACATACTGCTTGGACATATGCGTTACGGTTTCTCCGCGTAACTCTCTCGTCCCAAATGGAGTCTCATCAGGAAAGCCTGGTTGCATTGCAGCATCTCCGCAGCATCTCCGCAACCGCAGAGTCCTTTGGTGACGTTGAAATATTCATCACGTCTGCTGCATTCGAAGCCATGATTCATCTCAAGAGTGGTGGTCCAGAGAGCATTGAACAAGCGCAGCGGGCAATCGCATCAGCTCGGAGTTATCAGCTGCAGTTACCGTCGACTGAGCTGTCTCAAGTCTGGGCTATCCTGGATATTGTTGACTTGGCATGTAGTCTGAAGCACTCTCAGAACCCTGAGCAGGCTAATATGAAGATGAATGCTATGCAACACCTTATGGACGAGGCAAACCCCAAATTAGCATGGAACTCGGATGGCTCCTTCACAGTTTGTCTCAATCATATTGTGGACCCCAATTTGATTGGGAATACAGGCGACATACTCAATTTCGAAAGCAAAGGACAGGTTTCGCTCTCGTTCCATTGGCTGCCTCAGCGGGACCTGTATATGCTGGGTTACTACCTCAGTGGAATCACAGCTATCCAATCCAAATCCATCACAGACGACAAAGCTAACAATTACCTACTTGAGGGATTGAGGATGGCTAAAGGTGCGTCTTGAGAACAATGACTCGTTCACGGTGAGACACTAAATTGACTGCAGAACTTCTTAAGTCACCAAGCACCGACCATTCTACAGTCACGACAGCTTCACAAAGATATGAATGGCATGCCATGTCATCTTGGTTCATGCGCTTACAGTTGGCATTAATAGCTTGCCAACGAGCAGACTGGACATCCGCACGATCCCATCTTGATAGACTTGAGACAGAAGTCAAAGACCCGGCTTTCAAGCTTACAGATGATATCAGCAGGTGGCTACGTTACGTAGAAGCTACCATCTCGCAGGCAATTGGCGATACAACTACCGCCGTGGAAATCTTCCTGTCGCCGATTTTCGCGCTTCCGACAAATAAGAACCGGATGAACGATGCTCAGACAGACTTGTGTATACTTGCCGCTCTCAATACTCTCCTCGTTATCCGTTCCCCGATGCATAATCGACACACGCTCTTCCCAGATCTTCTCGCTCGACTCGAACCGTTTTGCATTCAGCATGCAAATAAATCAATACATTCTGCGTTCTACCTCATGCGCGCAATATCTCCTCGCACCGACGAAAGTACAATATTGAAGATGAAACAGCATCTCCAACTTGCTCTCAAGGACGCCAAGGCAATTAATAACAGCCAGCTACTTTACATCTCTCTGAATTTCATGACCGCCTTCTTCTTTAAAGACCTTGCCGGAGACCAAGCGGAGAAAAGCGCGAGGACAGGGTTACACCTTGCGAAGAGAGGCAAGAGCCAGCTGTGGACGTGCGCCGCGAATGGCATGTTGGCCGACACTCTCGCGCGGTGTGGCAAAGGCGAGGAGGCCGCGAGAGTGAGAAGTGAGGCAGAAAAGGGCGTTGGCAGTTTACCCTCCCCGCTAAGAGATCTTTGCACTAACGGCGTGAACTGACATGTGATGGGACCTGTGTGATGATTTTGGCATATCATATGTTTGACTGGCTTGTGCTGGTTGGTTGATGGAAGCGTTCACTGCATTGTTCTGGCGCAATGGCATTCTGGCGGCATATACCCAAGTGGGATATCGAATGGGGATGCTTCATCTGAGAAGTATCTTCGCTTTATGGATTTCGCTAAGCATAACAGACAGAGTGTTCTGTGATCAATAGCAACTTCTGCGAATGACGGCAAGAATCAATTGCTGTAATACTATTCGCACTTGTTACAAATGCTCTATTTCCGAGTGTTGCCGGGTAGTGTTTCCGTCCTTCTTCTCTCTCCACCTCACCTGGCCCAGTAATGTAAGATA